AAATAGATTATTGATCAAAAGTAACGCATCACCACTTTTGGAAAGAAATAAATACAAAATTATAATGAATATAATATTAATATATTGTGATCTATATTGAGTTTAAAGATAATCAAGATTCTCCTTTTTTGAATACACTTGATTTTACATGTAAATAACATATGAAACATAAAATATTGCTTTTTTATTTTTTATTCGTGTGATGCAAAACTTTTGGCAGCCACTGTACTAGGTATTACATGTACATGTACTGTACATTGTTCAGATGTATATGTAATTAATTCAATTCTTTTATGATAGAATTAATTGAATTGAATATTTATAAAACAAAAAATCTATAAATATGAAAATATTGTCTCACCATTGTAAATTAATTTTTTGATTTCAATTCTCACAAATAAGTAAGCCATATTTTCTTCATATTATATAAATCTCTCAAATGACAGCTACAAAATCATTGAACGATAAAAATTGTACTCAAGGAATTGATACTATCAGAAAAAAATATTTTCTATTTGTAAAGCGAAAAGTACCAACCATCAATGAGAAGAAACTGAGGAAAAAACATAAAATTTCCTTAAAAATTGCATTCAATCAAACGAATGATTCAAGATTTTGGAGAAATGAATTGAACAGATATCAAATAAAGCTGCTTAGCTTGCAAATGTTACCAATACAAATCAAAGCTTGAGTTTAACCGAGAACGATTCAATCGCCTCTCTGACTTTTCGTAAATGGTTAAGTTCTAATATTATTTTATATTAATATGACAATGCTGGTTAGATTTTTACTAAATCTAATTACTTTTTTTGGGATACAGATGACTTGATAAATATTGCAATAAATTTGAATTCGGAGACACCTCAAACCTATAAGAATAATAAGTTTTTCCGCTTGAGAAATTTAAGAAACGGCTTGGGATTCAAAATTTATTATTTATATTAGTTAACTTTATCTGAATGTACAACTATAATATAAATTATTATTTTGAATAGCTTTTATTACATGATACTATTAAGATTGCACTGATGTTAGAAGCAATATTGAATAGAAATTGAATAGAAATGCTGTAAGCATGAAATTTACGGCCACTCATAACGTGAATATGCTTTATAATCTCTTTGAAAAATTATCCAATTATTTTATGGCTGATTAAAATAAATTCAAGTCATTATTGAAACAAAATCGTAACACGATAGAGTGATAATCCACGGATAAGGAAAAATAAATGATTTCGAAAGTATCAAGTTCCTCATACATTAACCTAACAAATTTTTTGATTTTAAAAAGCATATACAGTATAATATTTTTTTATTTAAATTTATATTTTACTAAATAATATCATTTAAAATTAATATGATTCAAAAATAAAAAGCTATAGAATATTGAGCATGTGAATTTTAGCATCGATTACAGCCATAATTCATGGCGGTATATTGGAAAATAAATTACGCAAAACATCCTAAGGCACTTTTTGCCGTTCTTCCATCCATGCTTCAATCAAATCCTTTTTAAAGTTGGAAGAGACTCTCTTTATACTTTGACGAACTAAATTGTTCCACATATGATCAATTGGTTTTAAACTGCAACTTTAGGCAACCCATTCTAAAACTGGATTATCATGGGTTTGCACCCACCAATTAGTATAATGCGAAGTATAACATAAAGCATTATCTTGTTGAAATAGGAATTATTCTTTGCCAAAATGTTAATATGACCATCAAAATCGAGATCATAATTAACCTCTACCAAAGGTCCAACTCCATCCCATCGAATGTATCACTGATAATCCACCATACTTTACTGTTAGAACTACACAATTTTCCAAGTGTTTTCAGAAGAGTTTTGTCATACTCTTATCTGAGTGAAAAAGAGAAAGCTGTGACTCATCTGAACATACATTTTGGTGCCATTCAGTATTCCAATTCTTTATTTCTTTGCACCATTGCAAACGATTTTTTTATGACGAAGAGATAAAAGAGGTCTATGAATTAAAAGGTATTGAGTTTTTGGTAAGTGTATTTAGTTAATTAATAATTTAATTAAGTGGTGCCTTGCGATTCTTCTTTGTAATATGTTTTAAATTTCGTTTATCACGTTCAGACCAAATTTTTGGTCGTCCAGGATGTTTTACAAGATGTGGAGAACCTGTTTTCTTGAATCGGTTGATTTTATCACATAGTATTTGCTTCAGAATGGCCAAGTTAAAGGCAATGATTGGATCTATATGATGTGCACCGATTATTTGATCACGAAGTTCTGACAACAATTCTTTTCCTGATAAAAACATTGTGAATAGAACGAGTACTATTTTTAAAGGCAAGAACAATAGTATAATCGAGACAAAAAAAGAAAACGAACATGAACATGTATTAGGATAATAAAATGGTCGAAATTGCATGGATCACATGTTTATGAATTTGTCCAATGATAATATGTTATAAGATCTCCGGATCATGTTTAGGCAATCCGATAGTTAAGATCACTGTGTAAGAAATGAAAGATAGCTTTATATCAATTTTGCATATGAATGCTTTTCAGTGTTCTAAAAATATTACTATAAGTAAGCTTATTCAATACTTGTATGTAGCCTTTAAAGAAAAATTACTTTAAAACTGGCAATTTTCATAAACCTAATATGCATGTTCTGAACTGTATAGATAAGGCATTCGCAGATAAATACACATGTATATTTTCAATGATGCCAATTGATATTAGTAATATTCGGCGTTTATTTTTCAAGAAATCAAGAAAATTAAATTTAAGGTAAATCTTGGATATGATACGATATACATAACTAAAGAATATGATATTAATATGGCGTTGATTGATCTTTAACTCGCTGAGAAATCATAATTTTGCGATCGAAAAGCATAGCTCATAAATATATTATATGTTTTATATGTTTAAAATCAATTTATCTAATTTTTAAAGTAATTATATTATTATTATAAGTTTGATAAGTTTGTTGGTAAAATGTTATGAGGATTTGTTGAATTAAATATAAGAATAATTTTGAATCTCATCAAGCTTACAACTAACTGAATAATTTGCTCATTTTAAAGATTAGGCCTGTATACGAGTACTCAAATTGATAACCGAATACTTTGCGATATATTTAAAAGGTCTTCAGATATCCTACGAAAAGCAAATAATAAAATCAAACCACGAATTTTTTTCTCCTAGAAACAAAAATTTTAAATATACCATATTTGAAAAATCAAGTTTATCCATTTCATGGTTTTTCCTTGCCACCTTAATTTTACACAGGTTATCAGCAATTGAATCTAAATCTCTCAACCTTGCCTCAATACTATCAATATACTGATAATTCTGATTGCAAAATTTACAATTTGTCGAATTCTTTAGATTGTTAAGAGTACGACGTACTGGAGGATGAGATGTTTCTCGAACATGAAAAATAGATTTTTTTCCTGTAGTATGTATTTCGTTGGTATTGTTTTTTTTGAAGTTTTCTTTTAAAATAGAAGTTATTCTTGTTATTTTTCAATGTTTTTGAGTTTGCTGTTTTGATGCCATTTCTTAAATTCTCATGAAATTATGATATTTCGCATTAAAGATACACATTTTATACCGTTTAGTCTGATATTTACGCTGATTAAAGGTATTTTAAATTACAACTGATAATTTCTTTTGACATAATCGTTACTCATTAACTCATTGTGTCTGTGTTGAATATCCCAAAAGATTCTTTTGTTGCTTTGCTTTGTAAGTCAGTTAAAAAGTGATTCAAACTTCTAAAAGGTTTCATTTGATTATCCTAAAAAAAATCCCTATGCTCTTTGTTTTATGCACGAAAATAAGCCACAGCATTTTCTAGCGGTTCAAGTACTTAATATATCCAATACAATGAAAAAATACGATGATATGAAACAGTCCGCTTTTTAATAGAAAGGAACAAATTTTATGTGCAACTTCAGTTTATATTAGTTTTTCTTTAATTAGGACGTAAAATTTATATTAAAATTGAGTTATTATGAAACCAAATCTCTCAGAACATATTATTTTTTCCGTAATTCATACCGATACAGTTACATGTTCATGAATTATGATAATTCTATAGCAGATCGTCATCTTTATACATGACAGTACATGTATAATGTATTAATACATGTAATAAAAATTTATTAAAAATTCACTATATAGGGTTTTATTAGTAATTCTACTACATGTACATGTAGTCCGTTCAAGAGGTTTATCGTATCGATCTCAGATTGCGCATGTAAGGGAGTTGCGGTGGTACTAAATTAAAAACGCATACAATAGATGATTCCTATCCACCGATGTTTGATAGCAATGACGTAGCATTCTCACTAATATCTACAGCATATGAAGATTTCAAATTTTTGTTGCTATGTATAGCTATTTTTCTTAAAGAAAACGAACCGTAAAAATATGGATATAAATATCTCCAAAATCCAAATACCAACCTATTCGTTCGCAGTAGAATGTAATTCAGCAAATATGGGAGAAAACACTATTGTTAGTGACATTCAGGCTCCATTACCATCTACTAGCGCTGTTCCTGGGACACAAGAAATTTCACGTTGACCAAGTCCGACTGCAATACAATCAATTGTAAACATCATTAAATCCAATTGGTTAAATATCCAACTCGGAGTTTCTTCGTATTTTTTGCATTGGGGTGATGCTACTGAATTTTTGGCCATTATTCCTCTTGTAAGACTATTGGGAATGGTCACAGAGATATTGCATTGAGATTGGCCAGGTATGAATTTAATTACCGAGGCCGAACTTTAATATTAAATAAGTAATTTTTATTTTTTATTTAGACGATTGATGGTCTTTTGAACGCAACATTTGAAAATGCTGTCGAATTGATTGTTTCAAGCGTTGCCATTCACCGAAACCTAATACGACTCGTTCAAGAGTTAATTTTGGGTTTATTTATTTCAGATCTGCTGTTTATATTAGGTAGGAGTGAATTTCTTGGCGGGCGGATATTTTATAAAAGAACAAAATTTTAACCGGACAGCGGCTCAAACCGGCGCAAGTTCGATGATACTAGCGTGTATTGCATTATCTTTTCTCGCTGCATTCCGTGGGGATGCAAATGCTGAAATTAACCAAGAAAAATTCTCATAATGAGTCATATAACGGTAGTATTTTTGCATATTGTTTATGCAATTTGCGAGTAAGTATTCTAACGATTACATTGTAAAATAATCTTATTTAACATATTTTATAATATTTTATAGTTGAAATCTCATAGACATCTATTTATTGAAACTCTAGATGGTGCAGAGCCAGAGGAGTCAGAAGAACCACTACTTTCATTATCAATATAAGTTTTATTGTTAATATTCATCATAGCTGCAGTCTTTATCTGTGGTGAATTCCTTCTTGGTTCGATCGAAGGCATCGTCGAAACTTGTGGTTTGAGTAAGTTCTTTGTTGGTCTTATTCTAATACCGTTAGTTAAGAAGGCACCCAATATAATAGAGGTAATAGTAAACTGGATTTTTTTAATTTCGTTATTAATTTTGATATACATGTACATGCAGTATTTTGTTTAAAGCACGTGATTGCAGTTTCCGTAATAAAGTGGATCTGGCAATTGGAAATTCTGTGGTATGTATATTGAAATCGACAACTATTAACAAGATTATCTAATTTTATTCTGGTTATACAGTACATGTAGCAAATTGTACTTTTCATTGCTCCTTTTTGGGAAATACCAATGACATTGCTCTTTTATACTGTATGTCTCAAGTAATTTTTTTAGGAATGGAAATTTTGATGATTTACCTTATTAAGGTTAAAATTCATACTATGAATAATACAGAGGGCTATCAAAAGTTTCCGAACGCGATTTTTGGAATGCAATTGCTATACAAAAAAGGTAATGTTTATTATACGAATATGGTTTGTTTTTGTTTATTTTGTCTTAAAAAACATTTCTAATTCAATTTTTCTTTCTAATTTCATTTTTTTTTACAAATTGTGGCTACACCTGCAACAATGGAAAAAAATAACGAATTAACCGTGGAACAACGAGGTGTTATATTTTATCTTCGTAAAAATGATAATTCATATAATCAGATTGCTAAAACTGTTGAATGTGGCAAAACAACAGTTTATGATACATTAAAAAGGCATGCCGAAACTGGATGCATGGAAAGCAATTCCGAAATGTATAATCGAAAATTTAGTCGATAGTATGCCAGCACGAATTTAGGCGGTGATTGCGGCCCAATTAAATACTAGTTTATTAATACGAAATGTAGGTTTTGATAAGCTTAAAATAAAGTTTTAATAAAGTTTTTTTGGCCGAGTTTTAAAAATCATGTGTTTTATATTGCATAAAAATTCGTTCGGAAACTTTTGATAACCCTCTGTATGTATTATCTTTATTTAATCGTATACTTATCTAATATTAATTCAATTAAATGATGGACTACCTAATTGGTTGAAAGACACAATGTTAATTGCCACGTACATGACGATTTCCCTCGCATCTTTTTTTTATACCAACGACAAGTTGATTGGCTGATAATTTAAAGATTATGTCTTATGCAATTTTGATACCCTTTTATTATGAGCTATTTAATTTGCAAATTAAATAAATACTGCTTCATTCTTGTTTGTTTTTTTTTCGAAGTGAAAATGAAAACACCATTAGATCTTCACAATATCAATGACTAATCTGGACACATCCAATCGTTTTTTATCTCTTTCTTGGGTATAACCAACATCCTAATCCATCTTCCCGACAATCCAACATCATGACAATCCAACTTCCCGACAATCTAATCCCGACAACCTAACATCCCGACATACCCAACTTCCCGCCAAACCCAATTTCCATACATAAACCAGAAATTGGACTAGCTTTTTCGGGAAGTTGAAAGAATAGGTTTAAATTTGAGAAGTTGGATTGTCAGGATGTTGGGTGGCACTCCTTTTTCTTATTGTATTTTTCGCCTGATCTTTCCCTCAGCTAACAACATCGACCAGTGTAACGAAGACGAGCGATATTCATTTAATTGTGCGTATTATCTTCCGCCAGACAGGAGGTCACTTAGACCATGCGGTATTTTGTTTTTGTTCAATAGGACTTTATCTTTTAGGTGTTGCTGAATCGTCGTGGGTTAGAACTCGGCTTATGCCGAAAAGCTAATTAACATACATGTACATGTAGAATAAGAACTTTTGAAAGCGAGTGTATATCTCTGAAAATAAGCAACCTCCGAAAATAAGCGACTCCCACTATTTTGAACATGAAATATATGAAATGATAAGGTACCAAATATAGGCAACCTTTAAAATTTATTAGTTCAATATAATATCTATTATTCAATTAATACAAAAGCTTTTCATTATTATTTAAAAAAGTCAAACCTTTAGTGTGTATTTTTAAATTCTTTCATACTCTTTCATATTTTCTCAAGAACTTCACTATAATAGACTTTGAAATGTAAATGTTTATATATAGTAAATAAATATATACTCGAATATAAGCAACTCCCACTCTTTGGCTCACCAAAATCCCAGATTTTTTGGTTGCTTATTTTCGGAGATATACAATAAATAAGGATGCTTGTCAAAACTTATGAATTTTGACAGATGATGCAATGCCAAGCCGAAATACTAATCAATAATTGAAAATAATTGTTCATAAAGAACTAAACTTGCTTGAAGTTAACAAATAATTTGTGCTAAGTAGACAATAATGAATATTCGCTTTTTCTCCTCATTAAAGGTTTCATATCAACGTCGTTTGATGGTTAATCCAATAACGTTGTATTTCGTCATTTTTTTGTGTAGAAGAATTTATTGAATGTTGTTAATTGTAGATTTTTCGAATTGAAATTGTAGTGTCATTGATCCAAAAATGCAGCCACAATATCAACTACAACTATAAAGAGTTGAAATAAATTACTTTAATATAGCTCATTAATACATCCTAAAATTAAAGTTTGTCTTAAACTAGAAAGGCAAATATTAGAAGAACTTGATTAGAAATGAAATTACAAATACATGTAAAAACAAATACATGTGCATGTATAATAGTGTAATATATATATAATTTTTGCATGCCTGCAATCAAAGTCACTCACAGATATGACTCATTTTTAAGTACAGTTGATTAACTTTAAGATGAGATAAAAGTTAGAAATAATTGCTGAAAGAAATATGAATATGTGTATAGCTCCTATTTTATATATAAAGCATGTAAATTTTAAATGGCGCCGGGAGGATTTACATCCGGGCATTGCTTGATGGAGCCTTAGTTATGTAACATAGCCATGCCTTGGTTGTTTATTTTTTTGCTATAGTTGATCGATTCGGTCCATCCGTAGAAATGCTTTATACAAACGAACGAGAATGTAATAATTTTTTTTCCTCGCATTTTATTTTTATTTATTCGAAATGTTATAACAATATCTCCGGTGGATATAATTGTACAAACTCAAACAAGATATTTTAACTCTAAATAACGAGCATTATTTAACAAAAGAAGAAGAGACAATGACGATATCCTGAAGAGATAGAGCTAAGTTTAGCTAATTATCTAGTTTATCGCCATCAGAAAAACCTCATAGGACTTTATTGGATAAACTCGAGACCTGGATCGAAAAAGAGGGCGCGAAAAGGAACTGCCATTTCTTTACAATGTACGGGGCCTACGATTTTGAGGAAGCATTACAAGAAGGGAATCAAATTCTCCAAAAGAGTTGAGACATACATTCAAATGATGGTCACGAGATATTAAATTCATTTTTCCGAATACTTTTGTGATAGGAGTGTACATACACGTGTAGAATACAAGTCTTATGAGAAGAATTATTTAACGCGACAAGTGCCTAATCATCCACATTATACTTAAATACAGCAATTTTTTGTTTTATTTCGCACAGTCATTTTAATTTCTTCTTCGGCAATGCATAATGCTAATTCAATTGGTCGATTCAAGCCAAGTTCGACATCGGGCAGGCTAAAATATTAAAAAATTTAAAACGATAAAATTTTAAAAAAATAACAAAGACAAAATTTCATACATGATCCTCAAGCTTCCAACGTGTTTCGTATCATCACAATAATGCGCGTTATTGTCATTCGAACTATAAATCTTGAACAAAATGTGCGCCTGGTCTGGATAAATGGGATAAAATATCGAGGCGAATTCATAATTCAGTGTAGTTTTGTCACCTCGTTTCCCCAAGCGATTGAATTTCAAAATGTGTCTATCCGGGGTTTTCTGTTTAATTTGGTCGGTAGGCACAATGATAGTACGAACATAACCATCAAAAGTTTCGAGATCAGTTAAGGATTTTCGGCGAAACTTCCAACAAAGATCGCCGAACATCTGATTTTAGGATTGGTTCTGCATCAATTTAAGTATTTTGTTAACGTTAACAATTGGATCAAACATTGATTTCACATCATTATAGTACAATTCAATGATCCACTCATTATTGTTCAATTCTTTCTGAATTTCTTCGGACACGTATTGTTTTAACTTCGAACAATATTGATCTATGTCGAATTCAATAGTCTTGAATTTTGTAAGGTCATCTTTAAAGTTATTTTTTACGCGAAGATTAAAGAAATTCTGAATCATGTGCTGAAGCTGCCCATAACACTTTTCTTTGAATATTCTTATAGCGTTAACGCCTACGCATTTTCCAGAAATTTTATAAATTGCTTATCGACATATGTGCTACCGCAAAATTCCATCGTACGTATAGTTTCTTCCTTTGAATTGGTCTTTTCCACGTAGGCGCGCCTCGTTAAATCGACTGTTCCACCTCCACAATCGCATACCAAGAATGTGTCTATAACATTACATTCTTTGAATACATATTACTGGGAAACAAATGCATGGCAAATTATGGATTTATGCATAATATTTAAAAACTAACCTCCAGTTTCTAATCCATGTGATTGTACGATATTTGAGCAATAAATTGCAGCTGCCTCGGCTAATTATTATTTACATATAGACAATTTAGATTTAAAATAAAACAATCTAAAAAAAAGCTTTTCAATATTTTAACATGCATAAATACGAATATTTACCCATTCCACCGGAATAGTGAATACAAATCGTATTTTCGAAGCGAGAGATCAGGCCAACGTAGATTTACAATTGCCTTAATCAACTGTAATGAATTTAATCAAAAATCCATCATATCTGTTAAAATGCATTAATCAAATATAAAGAAATTTTTATAATACAATTTGCATTTGACGAAGATAATCAGTGATTGCTTTCTTATAATTTAATCCGTTAGGAAGTTTCGGTTTAATTCTTCTTTGATATCACCTAAATGAAACTTAAATAATTCAACCGGTCGTTTCTCTTCCTCGATCCTTTTTGGCTCTTGGGAAATCCCTATGCTTCGACTTGCCATTTCATTATATCGTAATACTATGGGGAAAGGGGTGCTTACTTGAATTTCCATGTTGATATATTGAGAATATGCAAATCCTATTTGATTTAAATAAGATTCAATTTTCTTATCAACAATTCAAAATACATTATACATATACTTATTTGCTGTTGCGTGTAGTTCCAAAATCAACAGCAACGACGTCACGAATTTCAAATGACATTTTGAATATTTTTATTTTTTATTTTTTTTAGTGTTCCACGTAATACAACCGAATTAGGGAAGAAATTTGCTAATTAAGGTAAGTCAACAGTTTTTTAATTTCTTTGATATTACAAACCTGATTAACCCAGATTACCATTTTGTGAACCACCCTTACCACTATGACATCATTTATCCTTTTTAGCATTGGGTCAACCAACTTTGTACAAAGTCGACATCAATGTTTTTCCACGCGGCTAGTAGCTTTTTTCACAAGTCTTTTTATGATGAAAATGAGCCAGGGAGATGCCTCAAACGCTTATCGACTTCATTCTACAAGTGTTCGATAAGTTTCAAGTCAGGGGACTGCGATGACCAGTCAAGTAAGTTGATCTCATTATCGACGAACTATTGCTTCGCTTTTTTGGAGATACATTTGGAGTCATTGACTTGCTGGAAGATAAAATTCATATCCTTTATCATATTCCAGACTATGTCTAATAAGTTAGTATTTAAAATATTAACATAGATCTCAGCTGTCATTTTTCCATCAATTTTTTTGAGTTCACCAACTTTATCAGTGGTAAAGCTACTCCAAATCATAATTGAATCACTATTGAACTTCATTATTGATGTGATGTGATGATTTTTTAAAAATTCACCAGATTTTTTCCAACAATACTTTCTTCCATCCAATCCAAATAGTTAAAACTTGCTTTTATTAGACCAAATTATTTATTTCTAATTGTTTTTCTGTATTTCTTTATTCAATTTAATCTTTTTCTTCAGTAATTTTTACTAAATAAAGATTTTTTATCTTATTCTTGTGGATAAGTCATTTTTCTGAAGTATTTTTCATATACTCGCTGCTGATAAATTAATATTTGAGCTTATATTAGATCTGGACAATGAAGAAGTATTTTTCAGACTACATTAATCACACCACTTTTATTCATAATGTGATGAAAGAATCAATATGTGAGATGGATCTTGAATTATCATTGAAACTTTTAGATTTCATCTTCTTGCATATTTGATAAATTGAAATCATATACATCTGCTTTAACATGATAATTTTTTGAAATAAATATACTTTTGTTGAAGAATATAAATATTTTTTTATAAGAAATTTAGAATTAAAATTTTAATTTGATTATTATTAGTAATATTATATAGTTTTTTATCTATTATTAAAGTAAAAAAAGATACTTTATTATAATCTTCTAGTTATATAATATGAGTTATCAAGAAAATTCATACAGAAGATTCAAGATATTATAAAATAATTGACTTTAAGTTCATATAAAAATAAGTTAAAAGTCAGCAAGAGATTATTAAACTTAAACTTTATTATTATGATGATGATTATTATTATTACAGAATAGAAATAGCATTTTTAAATAAATAAATTAATATTACATAAAACTTAAATAATTATTAATATATAATACTTAAAAAGATAATACCTTCAGAAAATACTTACAGAGATATAAATATATAAATAAAAATTATAAATAAAAATAAAAAAATAATATGTCTAGCTATATTTATAAACCAAGAGAAAATAGAACTTTTATTAAGTATTATCTTCTAAAGAAAAAATAACTCAAATAATCATGTGCTTTCTCTTGATAGAATTGAAAAATTATAATATAGTAAATTATATATAATTTAGTAATATAACACGGCACAATTTATAAACTATTAATATTAACTATTATTAAATTTATTATATTTATATTATCTTTATAAGTCTGAATTTTTTCTTTCAATTTGGTTAAATTATATAGAATATTAAAAAAATAAAAAAATTATTGTATAAGAAGAAAATAATGAATGAAAATAAAATTTATATTTGTTAATAATAATAAATAAAATATACTTATCTTTAATCTGTATAATTTTTCTTGGCAAAATAATCATATTTTCAATTTTTTTTATATTTTACTAACTTCATGAGATATTATATATGATAAAAGATATTTATTAAATAAAATAAATTAAGAATTTTATTTTATAATATTTATTATAAAATTATTGAATTATTTTGAATTAAGAATTATATAATTACTGGTTTGAATAATTTAAAGCATTAGAATACTTATGAGATTCAAAAGAATAAAAAAAGATTTCAATATGATTTGATTATTCAATAAGTATAAAAATTAGATAAGTAAAATATAGAATTATATTAATTTGTATATTTATAAAAATTATATTTTTTGATATTAATGATTGCAAGAAAAAGTAATTTTATAATTTATATTTCTAAATTCTAAAAATATTTTATTTTAGAAGGATAAGTCAATAAGATTTTTTGCTAAAATTTTCATAGTTTATTAATCAAAATTTGAAATTTTTTAAAGTTCATGCTTATTTTAACTAAATTTCAATTAAATTATATTCTATATATTTTACAGGATCTGGTATAATAATAATATTCTAAATATATAAATTTTCTAAATTATGATAATTTTGTATTTAATATATTGTAGATACTTTCAGATTTCATGCATTCTGGATGTCATTCTTTTGAAATTTCAATCATTTGGAATTTCATACTAGATCCAAGAATAAATAGCTTTATCTGAACAAATTATTTTTTACTAATATGATCAAGGATAGTTATCTGCATAAAATAATTACTTCTAGAAAATAATTTTTAAGAACAAAATTGCATGATTTATAAAAATATTAGACAATTATTTTTAGAAATATTTGTTAAAATTAGGGGTTTATTAACTTCAGCCATTATCAGATCAGACAAAGTATTTAATTAACTCGAATGATTGGCTAAAATATGATATATTCTGTGTAATATTACATATTATACATTAGAAAAAGTAAAAATAACTCGAATAAATTGGTGTATTATATACATTAACAAAAGTATTTAGTTAACTCAAATAGCTAAATATGATATATCCCGCATATTATGTATATATTATACTATCTATTTTTCTATAAAAAGACTGCCAACTTTCCTGTTGATAAATTCAAAAAGCAATAAACATACAATTCGAGTTTAAAAATCCACTTGTTAAAAATTCACTTTATATCTAAAATATGTCTATACTTTCAAAATTCTAAGTTTAAGCAAACACGACAAATTTATCATGCATAATTTAACTGTTTTCCACATGGCATGTCATGTTTATCTAGAAAAAAAATAAATATTTACTTATTTATTTTGATATGAAATATATGAAGATTTTGGAAGACAGTAACAGTGCTGCCTCTCATAATTTCCAGATTACTTTGACTTTGGCATCAGCTTAAGAGAACAAAACTATGTTCTCTACTGAAATGATTAAGTTGCAGACTGGTCAAGGAGATTGTGGTTTCCCGCAGAGATAAGCTTGCCTTCGACTTCATCGAGTTCAACTTCCACATTAATAGCACTAGGCTCATGGTTCTTATAGACAATAATCCAACGGATAAATGGGAACTATCTCAGTATATCCTCACCATTTACATCTGACAACTACAAGAAAAGTGATCTACTTGGTAAATATTATTTTTAGGTTTAAATCAAAATTCCAACGAACAAAATCCTGATAATGATAATCCCAGGGTACTAACACAATACAAAAGATCACAAACTCGAAAGAATATAATTTCATAAGCAAAATTCTGACAAACACTTCCAGACTGGCAGCAATTTACATTTATAAACAAATGTTTTGTACACACATTTTAATTAAATTTATTCATTTCCAATCATTATCATGTGTTCAATATAACCTTTACTCCATTATAATCATATCCCTAATTCTATTCTTTACCACTAATCTTTATAATTCTAATCCTAACTTTTATTATAAATGAATTTTTCTAATTTAGTAATTGTTTATCAAGATTTTGTTCTTTCGGGATTTATTTTTTTTGAGATTTTACTCTTTCTTGATTTTTTTTAGAATTTTATTCTTTCAGAATTATTTTTTTTTGAGATCTTGTTTACATAACCTCATTAACACATAATAAAAAATTGTCATATCCAGCTTGACTGATGCTATGTCATTATTTTTGTCGTCGTCATCATCATCATCATTGCCACCATATAGAAAAATATTATCTGTACCGAAGTACCATCAACTATTCAAGACATTTTTTTTCGAGATTTTATTTTCAGAATTCTGTACTATCAGGATTATGTATTGTCAGGATTCTGTTCATTAGGATTCTATTTGTTGGGATTTGTACTATTGGAATTTTGATTGGCACCCATTTTCTTGCATCTAAAATCATTTATCTATTTAAATCGCTTATTTCCCTGAAATAGATGAGAACTTAAAAAACAAAAAATACAAGAAGCAAGTGCAAACCACACGACGAGCCAAGAGAATAAAAAAGCAGACTTGACACGATCGCCGAAAATACAAGTATATCTAAATTTATTTCAGAAGACCTTGATTCGACAATAGATGGGTTGTGCTAGATTGATTTACAATATGGTAGTTGCCAATTATCAGCAGGATCACAGAACCACAAAGAGTTTTTTTTCAGACGCTTCTTCGGTTGAAAATTCACAACACAAAGTAATGGACTTTTATGGATAAAATTCCATATGATGTGCTTGAACATGCCATTTCGAGTTTTATACTGGCAAGAGATGAAGTTATTACAAGAAATCAGGTGAGAGGGAATCAACGTCCTCATCACATACTTAATTTTGCTTCTAAAAAGGATGACCTACAAACCATCACTATCCACGCTCAGTACTATCGGGAATCACTTTGTTTTTACCTTCGGTTATTACATAACAAGACACTTCTTGCTGTTGATCCGGATCATCCACATCACAAGGACTTGACTAATTCACCACTTCATTATGAACGTCAAAGAGCCAATCACGGTTGGCCAAATGACACTGGAGACGTCACAATGGATTCCAAGCTTACGTATGAGGAAAAATTAGGACACTGGACATTTATATGGGTATATGGAAAGTCCATCCGTGAAAACCAAGCGGAAGAAATCCAAGTTGCAGCCATTGATCCTGGTGTCCGAACCTTTCTCACATGATATTCACCCACAGTTGGCTATGGAAATTTTGGTGATAATGATATTAATCGTATTGACCGTTTCTGCCTGTCTCTAGATGCTCTTATATCACGTACCACTAGAGCATCAGCCAAGAAACGCAACTCTATGAAACGGGCCCAAGCTCGCATAAGAAAACGCATTCGAAATCTAGTGGATGAGGTGCACAAAAAAGCTGCATCATGGTTGGCTCGCACTTTTGATATAATAATATTGCCAACTTTCCGATAGTACACGGATATCACGACGTCGACGAGGAAGAAGATTTAGCAATAGGACGGTTCGAAAGATGATGAGTTGGGCGCATGCTAGGTTTAGACGACGATTGATATTCAAGATGGAGGAATTTAATAAAATTGTTGTGACGCCCGTGTCAAAAGCATATACGAGTAAAACATGCAGTCATTGTGGATATATTAAGAGGAATTTGGGTGGAAATAAAGAGTTTATGTGTGACGAATATGGGCTTCGGATTAATAGGGATTTAAATGGCGCCAGGGGGATTTTTCTCCGGACATTGCTTGATGGAGCCTTAGTTATATAACATAGCTATGCAAATTGGTTGATTTTAGCTAATTATTTTTAGCTATAGTTGATCGATTCAATCCATCCGCGGCATTCATGTTTCAGAATATTCTCGTGAATGAAAATTTCCTGTAAAATGGTAACACATGTAGAACAAACACACAAAGTACATGTAGTTAATTAATATCTTTATTTAAAATTTTCCTGTCGCATTTTTCGATGGATAAGATCCGTTGCTCAAAAGTCACCTTAAATTGTTAGATTTTTACTTTTTGTGATCGTGATGTATAGACCACTCTTAATTAGACAACATAATGATAGAGATATCCAAAATTGGAAAAAACTTGCACATGCTCTAAGTCACAGTAAATTATAATCAAGCTAATTTATCTTTATTGTTTGACGAATATTCCTACAATAAATATGCTGGAAAATGTAAAACATGGTCCAGAACCAGAATAAAGGGATGGTTAAGGTCTCGCTAATTATCCATAAAAGAACTTGAATCTTTATATTGTATTCACCTTTATTGTCATAGGCAAATATAAAATTTTCGGTAAAACTAACATTACGAAAGAATTTAATTGGTTCACTCGTTTGTTTTCTAGTACAAGCAAGTATAATCGAATTCTTGTTTGTTTTCCTGATTAAGTATAATCGAATGTGAACACAAAATTCTAATTTAGATTTGCCAAGACAAATCGTATACATTATTGTTGGACACACTTCGTTCTTTTCTTGGATGTATGCATGCTTTGTACCCAAACCTAACGTGAATATAAATCTGTATTTTTTATGCGGATGAATTTTTTAAGGCTTACGAAAAAAATTAATAAAAATACTTTATACGAACACATAAAATATAAAATATGAATTTAACAGGTTTTTTACAAAGGAATGACCGAAAATTAGATCCACCCATATTATACAGGTTGAAAATCCTCTCCGTTTTAGTAATATACATGTGTTTACTTGCCTTTATTGGAGCGCAACTTTACTTAATGGTCTACCAGCAAGCCGCGCTTCAACAAGCGAGAGAATATCCTGCTACTTTTAGAGGACCAAGTATGTATGTTGAAACATTTTGTTAATTAAACTTCTCAAACTTATATTAATTAAATTGCGTTTTAGATGTCAGATTCGAATTCAAATACAATTACACATTATCTTGTCAAATAAAATACATTAATAGTAACAGTAAGTATAGGCTTTATACAAATACACTACTACGAATCCTATATGCTAACTTTTATGTTCTTAGCTTTGACAGATTCGAATTCATGTACCACCCAATATTTACTTCAACCAAATCAAACTAATGACCTTTATTATGGGTTTTTATTCGGAAACCTTCAGTTTGCTGGATATTCACCGGGAATATTTGAACTTCAAATCAATGTTTATGTTAATGATCCGGCATACAACGTGACATCTGATCCTGGATTTGGATTCAGGCTTTACGATCCAGGTCAATTCTTTAACAATTTTTATTTTTTTAAAAAAAAAAAGGTTAATAACTAGGAAAATTTACATCCATTAGATCCCGAGTTCGAGAATATAACTCCATTAGATACCACGACAAAACAATTAAGTGAACTTGATAATTTAAATTACTATATTCTTGGACCGTCACAAGGTAGATAGATGTACATGTCGTGTTTCTGTGGTTCGAATACCATTTCATTTCCTTAACTTCTTACTATAAATTTTTTAGCGAATTTTATTAGTTATCGACGATTTCTCAATAGGACATTAACTAATGCTTGGCAGAATACATTGGGGGTACCTCCAACTCAATATGATCAAGAATACTTTATGACATCAAGCTTTTGTAAATAACAGCCCTTTTAGTAGTCTCTCTGGAAACATCTGCATATATTAATGAATTGTCTTCCCATTATTTTAGCATCGATCCCGATGCCTGGAAATGACGTTAAAACAAGATATGCGTTTATCTCGATCACTTTGCAATCAAATGAACTAGACTCGATCACTGAATTCAAGTTAGTAAAAAAAGGAACCAGATTTAATGATATTTTTCCAAATTCATTAATTGTATATTCTTTCTTCATTTAATGTGAATGTGATCTGAATAGGAGCATGACGGTAACTACACGTATTTTTTGGTTTTTATTAAGGTTTCGTCGATCTTAACTTTTCTACACTTTTGACAATAGATCTTAACGCTCTTCGGTACTTGGGGTGGTGCTTTTACCATTGCATCCGGAATAATCGCAACATGTTTTGGTAATTGAAAATCCAATAACTTGATTGAGAAAATTCATATAACTAACTCGATAAATATGTTGGATCTCCAGGCGTAAATCTTCTATCCCCCTTCGGAGTAGCGTATCAACTTCCATGCGTAAAGTCAAAATTAAAATCAAGTCTTCGGGAAAAAAACAAAGTCTACGAAGAACATCCACTCGCTTTAACGAACAATGCGCAATTAGCTTTGCCGAGAAGATTTCAACGTGACGCGTATTCAAAATTGGATGATCGGGTTCAAGCATTGGAAACTTTCCAAGAGGAATTAGTAGCATATCATGAACAATTGTTGGTTTACCAGCAACATTTGGATCGTCGGCAGATGAATATGGGTAACTTTCTTAGCGAATATGTGGTTAATGTTGAGTATGTCAATTCTTTGTATAATGTTAATGAGGAAAAGTTTAATTAAAACTTGTGAATAGAAAAATTATTAATCTACATTCAAAAGTTACGAGTACATGTACGTAATACTGTATTATTATTATAATTATTTTAATAGTATGTATTTTTTATTGTCAAAACACAGAATTAAAAAAATAATTTATAAGCGTATAATTCAAACAAAGCAAAAACTACTTTACGACTTCATTACATTGAACAACCTTTTTTTGATCCAGCCTTAGAAAGTCATCATATTAAAAGATTTACGTTCAACAAGACTTGCGTTGAGTGTTCTTTCTTTTTTTATGAATGTGATTATCTTGCTTATTTATTTGCAACGTTCTTCATTCTGCATGAAAACATTGCGAATGAGAACTGAAACTATAATCGAAGAACTAGCTTTAATCTAAGTGAAAATAAATGTCTAAAGGGCTTGAATGTTTAACAGTCAGATACTCATGTGCATTAGGGCGTGGCTAAAATGCATTTAATATAGAAACCTTTCACCCTCCACGTATGAGATTGATTTTACATTCTCACGTGATATATTAATGATACATGAATTCCCCCAGCCAGCGGGCCATATATAGCGGACGTGGACATTTTGGGACATTGTCCAAGATCGAATAAAAAATCTAGAATAAATCTCGATGGCGCTGTCGCGGTAAATGAGCAAATAAATTGGACTTCAAAACTATCAGCAGCATCATCCATTCTAGCAACATATTCGGATCAAGCAGAATGCAATTTACTATCAAACACTCCCATAACTGGAAATCAAATCATAAGTCCACAACAAGTTTACATAGAAAAATTAAGTAATTTGAAATCCTCTGAATCTACAAAAAAAGCATTCGAATGGTACTTGAAAGCGGAAGAGTCAGGACAACTTCAAGCACAATTTAATCTTGGAAATTGTTACCGAGATGGAATAGGAACAATCAAAGATGAACAAAAAGCATTCGAATGGTACTTAAAAGCAGCAGAGTCAGGACAACTTCAAGCATAATTTAATCTTGATTTTTGCTACGCAAATGGAATAGGAACAATTAAAGATGAACAAAAGGCATTCGATTGGTATTTGAAAGCAGCAGCGTTAGGAGATCTTTACGCATAAGTTAGTCTTGGTTATTACTACCTAACTGGAATAGGGACAATCAAAAATGAACAAAAAGCATTCGAATGGTACTTGAAAGCAGCAGAGTCAGGAAATCTTAACGCATAAGTTAGTCTTGGTTATTACTACCAAACTAGAATAGGGACAATCAAAGATAACAAAAAGCATTCGATTGGTACTTGAAAGCAGCAGAGTCAGGAAATCTTAAAGCACAAGTTAATCTTGGTTTGTGCTACACAAATGGAACAAAGATAGTGCTATTAATATTATTATAAATTTTATTAAAGATAACCATTAATGAAAACTTCTATGAAAATAGTTTAAATTAGAGATGTGCCTATTACTATGCGCATTATGCGCATAGTTACTAACCGATATCGTAAATGCCCATACACAATTATGCATATGGTTAAAGTTCATAAATCATCACCAAATAAGGCATTTGTACTCAATAAATAATGATAAACCAACGCATTTATACAGAACATAGTATAATAATAACGATAAACATTTACTGTACATCTTTATTGTTGTACATAATTTATCATTATGGCTTCTCGAAGCTCTATATGGGAACAATTGGTCATATTGACAACAGTGTGCAGAATGTAAATACTGTGAAAATCCCAAATATCAATGCAATATTCAGTAATTCGGTGTAAATCACATCTGCGCGTATGTCCAAATGCCTCAATTGAAGTTAAATGATCATTTTTTGGTATGAGCTTTGAAAATCCAGA